TTGGAGGTTGCTGTGAGCTGTAATGCCACGGCACTCTACCCAGGGGGACAGCTTGAGGCTCTGTCTCAAAAAAAAAAAATAAATAAATAAAAAAATAAAAAAATAAAAAAATAAAAAAATATTAAATGGGCTGGGCGCCGGTATCTCCGTCGGTATGGCGCTGGCCACGTGCACCCAGGCTGGAGGGTTCGACCCCCGCCTGGGCCGGCTAAACAACAATGACAACTACAACAGAAAAATAGCTGGGCATTGCGGTGGGCGCCTGTAGTCCCAGCTACTTGGGAGGCTGAGGCAAGAGCATCGCTTTAAGCCCAGGAGTTTGAGGTTGCTGTGAGCTGTGACACTACAGCACTCTACCGAGGGCGATATAGTGAGAGACTGTCTCAAAAATAAATAAATAAAAATAAAAAATTTAAATGGAAAATCCCAGAAATAAACAATTCCTAAGTTTTAAATTTGATGCTGTTCTGGATAGTGTAAGGCAATCTCGTCTTGGCCTACTCCATCTTGCCCCGACATGAATTATCCCTTTTGGCAGGGTATTCACCTCCATAGGCTACTTGCCTGTTAGTCACTTGCTAGTCTGGTTTATCAGATCCCCTGTGGAGGTATTGCAGTACTTGCAATTGAGTAACCTTTCAATGTTCCCAAAGTGCAAGGATATTATGCCTAATTCCCTCCTTGCACCCTCCTTGGCTTGTTGGTCTCTGATGGTATAATTTCATTTTGTGTGAGTTTATATACCCATTGTTTAGCTCCCATTTATAAGTGAGAACATGCTGTTTGTTTTTCTGTTCCTGAGATACTTCACTTAGGACAATGGTCTCCAGTTCCATCCCAGTTACTTATTATTACTTATTTCACTCCTTCTAATAGCTGAGTAGTACTCAATGATGTGTATGTATGTGATGTATACATACATATACTACGTTTTCTTTATCCACTCCTCAGCTGATGGGCACTTAGGTTGATTCTGCATCTTGCGGTTTTGAACTGTGATAGGATAA